CTTCAGATCTGGCTCAGCATGCAGTCTGTGTAAAGCTTTCTTCAGCTCATCATTATATCCCTTGCTGTTCTTCTTCAGAGCGTTGAAAGCGTGAGCCTCCAGCATTTCCTTTTGCCGTCTCAACTCGCCCCTGGATTGGCTGTTGCCACTTCTAGCTGAGATAGTGGACGTTGGGGAATGGTCCCCCAGCTTGTCGAAGTGTTTCCTCGACATCCCTAACAGATCGGAGGAGGATTTTCGCTTGGATTGAAGGGCTCTTCTTTTCTCTTCTTCCTCTTTACGACTTCGGCTTCGAACGAGATACCCTCTAACGAAAGCCTGTGTAAGGATGATTTTGCGTTCTACGTCTTTTCTGTGTTGGTTCAGTTTAGCTGTATCTGCATAGCTGAGTAAAATCTGTGGAAAGGAAACATTAAAGTTAAATAAAAAGAGAGTTTGTGTTGAGCTCTCATACAAGTCTTGGAGGAATGAGTTTTGATTCATGGATCCCTCACCTAAGGGATCCGACTTTGAGATCCGAAAGAGGAAGGACGAAGATAAAAGCAAAAACGAACAAAACCATAAACAGTAAAATACACAGCTAAACACATACACACGGTTGCTAACCCTTGCACATAATTGTTAAGTCATTCGGCGCTCACATTTTTCTGGAATATTATTACGCCCTTACTCTCCTTAAATGCAGTTGTCAGTACGACGCATTTCTTTAAATCAAATTATTCTAGACTGCAAGATGCTTTAACTATACCTTTTCGAAGTTTATTTTCACAATACGACATAAATATTGTTTGGCTAGAAGTCGGATGGGAGACAGGAAAAAAAAGGGGGAGGGGGGGGGTACTAGGAAAAGACAAAGGAGGATGGGGAGAAGTCAAAAGTATACAATTCTACTACTAGATCTAGACACATTGCTTTGTAAACAAATGACAAAGATTTGTACGAAGGGTTAAGCCAATCCTTTAGTTGAAATTTAAAAAAAGCGTCACTAACCACCCGAGTGGTGAAATAAATGGGTTTTTTTTCATTGAATACCGTTTTAAGGAATCGCGTATCTTGTATTAAATCCGCACAAGCGAAGATTGTCAAAAATTAGCCTCTATTCAGAAAATCCAAAGCGTTTCACAAAGGCGGTGGCAATATACATGTAAATATAATTGTACCTAAATTGCTAAGGATACAGTTTACAATATCACTCCCAACTGCAACTCGACCAGCTAAATCGAAAGTGACGTAAAGGACAGGTTTTCTGAAAATAGCTGCTTCGATCAAATTAAAGAAATGATATAAAACATAGGTTCTTTTTGAAAGTATCAGCCTGCACATTTTCACTTCTATATTACTATATTGGCGCATTGAAATCACGTGGATCAATATTTAATCGATTCTATATCAAAGCATGAGTTCCTCGCCTGCTCATTCGGCTTATGTCAGTAACTCGTACTGTACAACTTTTGTGTCATTATCTACGCGTTATTATTCACATTATTCGGGTTATAATTGCACTATATTTCGTTCCTTTATTTTACAATTTTGATAACTCCTAATTCTAAAAACAAACAAACTAATGAACTGGACAAATTTTACTATAATCATGAACATGTGGGAAATCAATAACACTGACTCATTTGTAAAATCATGGCAAGATTGCGGGTACTCACCTTACTCTCCCCGATCTCAAACTCCCTGAGCCCTGCCCTCCTGGCGATCAGTCGGCAGTGGTCAGCTGTGGGCTCGATGTCTGCCGTAGCAGAGAACACAATCAACTTGTACCTGTAAGGGAACACGATATGAGCCTGAAATTAAAATTGCGTCAACAAAGAAAATAGTGGACGAAAAATGCAGAAACACGAAAACTAAAGCAGTTTTTGAAAACATCTCACTGATCATGATGTTGAAGAATTACACTTTAGTATATTATATGAATGAGTATGTAACCTATCTGTTTATACGGATCAAATTCTCACCCATTCTCTGTCAAACCAACACTTCAGCAGAAGAAGCAGTGACCGTGTGTTCGAAAGGTTCCGAAAGGACTCCACCGAAAGCAAAAAGTTATGAAAGAATTCCACGGGTGGGCCACACCTTCAGCTTTGACAAGCTTACCCTACAGGCTTGCCACGGGTGAGATACTAGTTCCCTTCAGACAACCCAAGCCCTTCTTTCATTTGCGAGCAACAATTTTGTCTTTATGGATTGCCAGAAAGCCTTCATAGCATTCGAGGCTAAAGCTCAACAGGTATCGCTTAGAGAATAATATCGGGAAGAGTCGGCTTCAATGCCCCAGAACGGCCCACTATTGCCGTCTTTTACTAGTGCCATTCATAGCAATATCTCGCTGTGAACTCTTGCAACTGTGGAAATCACGGCTTTCAGGCTATGATTCATTTTGATATTTACTGAAGGGTGAAGGTGACATGAGTTTAAATCAGGCGTAAATCTGTCTCTATAATAATGTGCCGTATCTCTGTACAGGGAACAGGGGAGAATGAGAACACAGCGATTTTTCTGAATAATGTTATAACTGTAGAATCACCACGGTCAAACTTTGTAGTTTCTATAACCCTTTCAAAAAACCAAAAGCATGTAGATTCTAATCAAAGAACACACGTGAAAACATACAAACATACTAAATATGCAGAAAAAAATCAAAATGAGAGATGCCTTCTCGAGAGTGAAATGCAGGCGTTTTGCAGATGTACTAAGTTCTTTCTTAAGCTACAGTTAATTAAGATCTGTGTTTCGACTGTCAATTCAAGGAGTAAGGGGAACATTCACAGTCAATTTCCTCACGGAATAACAGACTGAAGGATTAGGTTACATAAGCAGGGTCGAAAGGTCAACTGGCCAGCTTCTCGCACAGAACTATCAGCAAGGTCGGTGACACAAGTGTTTTTTGTAGTCGATGATCAAGGAAGGGCATAATTAATTTTCCATGCTCAAGGACATTTCCCATTTTTGTCATTTCTTCTATCTAACTGTACTTTTCTGTGGTTTCTCACACCTTTGAATCCTGAATTGAGTGATTGAGTGATATAAATAGACCACTGTTACGCCATCCGTTGTATAAATAAATTCCTTCCATGAAGGGTGCCACTCACATACCACAATCACTCCAGCTTAGAAATGGTACTTTGTTTAGATATTTACCGGGTCTTCAGTATAACTCTACAAAGTACAGATTACCAACCGAAGGTCCAATCCAATTTTTGAAAAACACTCCCTAAATCTCAGGGCGTGGTGTCCTCTTTGGCAATACCTCATTGTGTAAAGCTCCTGTCATCCATTGACACAATTTAGATTTTACAGAAGGCGTGTTACTTCGACTCTGTAAGTCAAAGCCACACCGGGATGCGTGGGATATCCAACGAGAAAGAAAGCGTTTTGCCTATTAATTTTTTTCTCAAGAAGGAACCGAACTCGTGCAAAACGTAAAGCAATATATACCGCAGTCGCCAGTTATTTGAGTATACCAGAGTGTTTAACGTGTTCAAATAAAATACCAAAACAACAACAATAACAACAACACCAACAACAACAACAACCCAGCAACAAATGAATAGTCAGAGCTTAATTTTTAAAAACAACACAAAAAACAAACAAACCGAGAGCCGTACCTTTCAATGAATTCCTCAAAAAGAAGTCTTACAGGAAATCCCAGCTCTTTCAGTTTGGCCACATCTGCCTTGCTGAGGTCAAGTTGCCTACTAACTGGACGCTTGGTGGGTCCTGGCTCACTGACTCTTTTGTCCTTGACCTCAGCTTGAGGCAGGGGCAGCGCTGGCGTTTCTGCCTTTTTGTTGTCTGTTTTGCTTTGACATTTCTCCACGTCCTCTGGACTCACGAGGCTGAAAGAAAAAATGGATATGCAAATTTCCTATAAGATTGCAAGGGAGAGCTAAAAAAAAAGCGACAAGAACTAGGAAAAAAACCTATGAATTGAATTGACCAATGCTAACCTTAAATAGATCAAATCAGTGTTATTCATATTATTCTCTTTTTTTGTTCCACCCCCGAGTTGAAACTTCTTTGTACCTACTCACATTCTTACAATCATCGATTGTCTGATAGGAATATGATCGTTGATATGATATCGGAAAAAGGGACACGAGACAACATTTTAAAAAAGAATAAGATTTGCTGGGAATGTAAAATAGCGTGTAAGTAAGGAGTGGTGTTTGGGGTATTGGAGATGGGGAAAGGG